TTGCAGAACAAATACCTGTACTTCCACTCAGGCTTTTAGAGGCTTCACTTAATTGAGGATGTTTGTATTCTTGTCTCTCAATAGCAACTAATTTCTAAATAAAAATTCTTCTTTCCTAAAATGTATAAATGACATGTGGTCATGAATTTCTTCCATGCTGATAAAGGCAAAAGGAGAGGGATGATCCACAATGGGGTTGAGAGCAGGTAAGTTGCTCTGTGAGTGAGATGGGCAGTGTCTAAATCTGAAATACAAATAAAATAAAAATAAGGCTGTACAGGAAAGCAGGAAAGCAGCCTAACTAAAGAAAGAATTTCAGAATCAAACACTAAAATAGACCATAGAAGGTAATTTCTCTATTGTTGCCCTAAAGCAGTATGCATATGAGTAAATGTTTAGACAGGTGCCAGATGATAAGAACTCATAGAACAGAAGATGCAATATTCCTTTGTGGAACAGAACACTGTTCACACAATGTTATTGCCAGGCTAATACCAATAGTAGAACAGAACAGAACAGAACACAACAGAATATTGCTGAAAGGGACCTTGGAAGTCTTCTAGTCCAGCCCCTTGCTCAGGCAGGAAACCCTATACCATTTCAGACAAATGGCTGTCCAGTCTCTTCTTAAAAACTTCCAGTGAGGGAGCGTCCACAACTTCTGGAAGCAAGTTGTTTCACTGATTAATTGTTCTAACTGTCAGGAAATTTCTTCTTAGTTCTAGATTGCTTCTCTCTTTGGTTAGTTTCCATTCGTTGCTTCTTGTCCTGCCTTCAGGTGCTTTGGAAAATAGCTTGCCTCCCTCTTCTTTGTGGCAACCCCTGAGATATTGGAACACTGCTATCATGTCACCCCTCGTCCTTCTCTTCATTAAACTAGACATACCCAATTCCAGCAACCGTTCCTTATGTTTTAGCCCCCAGTCCCCTAATCATCTTTGTTGCTCTTCTCTGTACTCTTTCTAAGAGTCTCAACATCTTTTTTATATCGTGGTGACCAAAACTGAATGCAGTATTGCAAGTGTGGCCTTACCACGGCATTGTAAAGTGGTATTAACACTTCACGTGATCTTGATTCTATCCCTCTGTTAATGCAGCCCAGCACTGTGTTGGCTTTTTTGGCAGCTGCAGCACACTGCTGGCTCATATTTAAGCGATTGTCCACTAGGACTTCTAGGTCCCTCTCAGTTATTACTTTTGAGCAAGGTACCACCTATACTATACCTGTGCATTTGATTTTTCTTGCCTAAATGTAGAGCCTTACTTTTTTCAGTGCCAGTACTGAAAGAAGAATACATTATTTTACACGTGCAACTGGAGAATGGAATGTGAAGAATGTGAATCACAGAGACATTTATGTTTGATTTTGAGCATTTTTATTACCAAAAAAAATCAACACAGAAAAATACATCAACAATAGTACAATAAAAGCTTACATTATAGCGATTTTACATAAGGAAGAAAAGAAACTCAAAAATAAAATTGAGGGGGGGAAAGGATACATTTAATATTGATATAAAAGTAATTTATTAATTGATAATAGATAATATATTGAAAATAGGAAGGTATGTTAGTTACGTTCACTGCCTTGAGTTATTTGTATAAATAATAAAGGCGGGATAATAAATAAACAAACAAATACATGCATGCATACATACATACATAATAAATTTGAAATTTAAAAGTATTATCAAATAGAAAGGTTGAAAGTCATGGCAACAAAAAGAATATGTAATGATTGAATCTAAACCAGGGGTGTCAAACTCGCAACATCATGTGATGTGTTGCGACGTATCGTGACTTTTTTCCCATTGCCGGCAATGGGGTGGGTGCGGTTTCGTAATGACGCATCCAGCCCATGGGCCGGCAGTTTGACACCCCTGATCTAGACTGTCACTATCAAGCAAGAAGAGAAGAAGGAAAAAGATCCCAACCCAGAATGCCAACAAATTGAGAAAATAAATGTTTTTAAGAGCAATGTAACCATAAGAAATTTTAGCTGAGGTAGGTAAAGGGTACTTGAAATCACTAGGTATGAAGAAATTTTGGTTTCAGATCCAAAACAAACAAACCATCATGTTCTGGAACATCTGCGGAACAAATGTGGCTGTGGCCCAAAAGAGACAAAGCCAGAAACATTTTGGTTCTTCCAGATTTCTGATGAAATAAAGGTATGGTTGATACAAAAGTGATTGATGATATTGTCATGTAACATCAATTTTACTTTCAAGCACAACTTAAGGCCCTGGTAATAAAAGTTTCACAAGGTTTGGGACTTGGGTATCTGTGAGACTGCTTGCTGCAAGTTAAATCTACTGCCTAAAATGTTTTTGGAAAGAGTTACTAATTACCTACAGCTACAGGATAGAAAACCTAGAAGCAAACATTTCTGCTGGAGCAACCCTCCTGTAACATTTGTTATCTAAGAAATAAGAACAGCATATTTGTTGATATTCAGAAAGTTTAAGACCTGGTTGTTTAAATAGGTTTTCAGGTATTGAAGAATTAATGACTTGTGTATCTAAGGATGTGTAATGAGTGTTATTCATAACTGATTGGACATTAATCATATTTCTACCTCGCCACAATCAAGATTTCAGTGGTTAGCAGTCTATATACTTATTGCTCTCATTGATGTTGAATCTGCTCAATACATAATACATCTTTTGTAAGACATTTAGATTTGCTTGACTGAAGTAGCATAAAAGCTCTAGCAATAAACCAGAATCACTGAAAGCACAAATTTTCTGTGCAAACTAATTTTTGGCAAACTTTGCTACAAAATTATTGGCACGGTATTTCTTCTCAGTATCTAACCCCAGTATCCTCCAAAGGCATCATGCTTTACCTCTTCTTCTACATTATTCTGGGTTAGACATCTGACCTTCAAGAACTGACTGATTGAGTTGTTTCCAACTCAATGAAAAGGGAGAAAGTTATCTTTAGTAATTAATTCCTTTTGCCATTCTTTGTCAGATGCTTCTACAGCCATCCTTGGATATCCTTTTTAAAAAAATCTCAGGTTCAAAATTAAAAATAAAGCTATTTCAGTTTCCTGAAAAAAGTATAGTTCTATTAATTTGCAACATATTTCCTAGTTGTAGAGTAGGTGACTTTCTGACTGTGCAGTGTACCATCTATGACCTGCCAGCACTTACTTGCCAAGGAAAATGTATGCACTATCCAAAGGATGAAGAGGAGTGGGGGAAGGGGGTGTATCCATTTCACTATGAAGAGGAAACAAATGTAGGTGACAGTTGCAATTTCAGGGTATTTAGGGAAATTTATTTCTAAATATATGTTTACAACATTGTTCATATTTTATGAGACTTCCTGGAGCCATCCAGAAGCTATATTACGCCAGAAGCAATGTACTAAGAGGAAGACTTTAGTCTTTGAAGAGAGAAACTACGCTCTGTAGTTTGTTTTTCCTAGGGGGCAGAGCAGCTACCGTAGTACAAGGGACAATACATCATAAATGGGACACTGATGTTAAGGACACCAGGCGCATGCACTGCTACAAGATTATTATTTTTTTAAATGAGCAAACCTGATGTGCAATTTTGAAGTGGTAAAAACATATTTCTGAATTAAATTATAAATATTTGTTAGATGCCTCACACCATTATGAAGAGGAGGACAGTTCCCGTTACATGTTTGAACTAAAGTCCCAGAAAATTAGCCTTTGGGCCCAAGGGACTTCCCATCTGAGAATTAACTTTTAAAGATTGCACTGAGGGACTTCATCCCTGAAAGGCGGTCCTGTTATCAATTCAAAGTGGTAAAAAATAGCTATTGCTTCCCAAAAGGCAAACAGGAGAAAATGCAAAATCAAAAACCAAGTAATTTAAACTGCTCCTCATAAACCAAAAGTGACAAGAGAGTTTGGGGTAATTGTAGCCAGTTCTTCCATTGCACACAATTATTAAATCACCTTCTGTAGGAGAAAAGATGACAGAACCCGAGGGTGGGGTTAAGAGAGGAATCAGCCTAGAATCTCTACATAGACGTAAGAGAACTAAGTCCAACCCCCCTGGACTGATGTTGACCCTTATCTAAGCAGGTGCCAGTGGTAATTTGGGAAGATTTCTGTACCTAAGCTTTTGGCAATTAATGAATTTGACCACTTTCTTATGCACAATGACAAATGGATCTCCCTGTAACTTTCGTATTCAACATTGCTTCTTTGTACAGTGGTACCTTGATACTCAACTGCTTTGAAACTCATCAAATGTGGTTCTCAATGCATTTTGACACAAACATTTTGTCCCGGTACTCATTGCCTGCACAAGCTAGAGTCGGTGTCGGCTGCCTTGTGACTCACTTACATTATTCCTTATGGGAAAAATTTGGTTGGTACTCGTTTTTGGTACTCATTGTGCCTTCCAAAACCAATTAACAATGAGTACCAAGGTATAACTATAAAGAAAAAAATATATAAGCATTCTTCCAAGTATCAGGCTTAGATACAGTCAGTATTAATATTTTCTTCCTTCCACTCTGCAGAATATATCTCATTTCCATAGAAATGTAATTATACACTCCTCACAAATTATTTTATTCAAAGTAGATTATTTTTTATCGTAGTTGCAGCTTATCACACTTTACAGTAATATCATATGTTTGCCAAGGTTATGCCATCCAAGAGAACATAGTGGAAAGATGCCAGATCTGTTAAACAAAATAATGCCCATGACTGTGCCTGGGAGAAAATTCTCATGGTTTCACAAGAAACCTTCCATAGTTCATGCTGTATAGCTTCTTTTGAACTGGAAACATCATAGATTGAAACTGGGATCTTCTGTATGTAGAGCATGACTTTCACGAATATAGTCCTTACCAGAACCAGCTGGCTACACTTCTTAATGTGATCTATACCAAACCTATCTAAAATAGATTTTTAAAATTAATTACAAGTCATGTATACAATAATCAGGGGTTTAAGCCAAGATGCTCAGCTGACAAGAACAGACATATCCCATGCATGGGCAACAATTTTTTAAAAAATATCCTAAACAACTTTCTTGCCAGCCAAATATTAAGGAAACAACAGTTTTATCAGTAGCACAATAAAACCAACCCTAAACTGTCCAGTGCCTCAAACAATCAATCAATGGAAAATTTCCATCATTATAAAATTGGTCAGATGCAGAAAGGAGATACAACTTGAAGCTATGAAGGCCATAGTCATCACCCAAAGTTAATGCACAAATTAAGTTTCAGCATTAAGCAGCAGAGAGATTGTTGTCACTTGGTCCCACCAGGTTGCCACAAGACAGAGAATGGTCCCTTTCTTCAATTGGATCCAAGCTTCTCAGGATCTCCAATTTTTTTATCACTTAGAAGAGACTCCCTTCTCAGGGAAACCACTGTTACGGTTGCATAGTCCAATATTTGCAGATACCTACTAGACTCAGCCTACATGAATTTGACAAACGTCTTCTGATTTGGAGGCAGCTCCCACAGTCGGAAACCCTGGTGCTTGGTGGGCACCCAAGTCACCTGTCTTCACAGGCATCCATGAATTAGCACCAACAAAATGAGAAACAGGTGGTAGTCCTGCTGGTGAGTGGGAATGGTTCTGGATACACAATTCTCCCATAGCGCCAGCAGTAGGAGGCAGTGCAGGACTTTGAAAAGATGATAGTCCGGGTGCTGGAATTTGTGCGTTAGGATACTGCATGTGCATGGCAAGCAACGGAGGAGGGGGGCTGTGATAAGTCTGAGTGGGATAAGAACCTGGCACTGGATTTAACCTGAAAGAGACAGAAAAGAGATGTGTTAATACAAGGGTCTCCAACCTTTCTGGATTGGCGGCCCGGTGGGAGAGGAAGGGGCAGGGGCCTTACGTGTGCATAGGCCAACGTGAATGTAGCTACACATGCATGCGCACGAATAGGCCGCGAGCATGCACGCCAGAGACACCGGTCCTTGTGAGGCTTGTGCTGCCGCCACCAGGCTCGCAACAATGCCACTATCAGCATGAGGATCACGCCACTGCTGCCCCATGAGACTTGCGCCGCGGCCTGCGCAAGGCTCACGCCGCCGCCTGCCTGGCACTTGCAGCACTGCCACCGCCTGTGCAAGGTTAGTGGCAATGCTGCTGCCTGCATGTGGTGTGCTACCGCCCATGTACCGCTAGCAGCACTGCTGCAGCCTGCGCAAGGTTCGTGGCAACGCCATCGCCCGCACGGTACTAGCGACGCTGCCACCACCTGTGCAACACTCATGGCAATGGTGGCATGAGGGGGGGGTGAGCTACTCATGCAGCCCAGTGACCAAGAGGCCACAGCCCGGTAGTGGGCCGTAGCCCATAGGTGGGGATCTCTGTGTTAATAGACTAAATTCACAAGGTGACCCGCCCAGCTAAGTGACCCGCCCAGCTAAGTGACCCGCCCAGCTAATTATTATTATTATGAAGGCAGGAGTTACATAGATGCCATGGGAATTATATATTTTTGTTAATTTTTATCCCATCTTTTAATAAATAACTCAAGATGCCAAACATATATAATACTCCCACCTATTTTCCCAACAACTATCCTGTGAGATCAATTTCAGCAATTTCAGCCTTTCTAATATGTAAAGAACAAATGCTACATTAACCAGGGTACTCTTTGTTAAAGCTCATGTGTTCCTGTTCTGGGAACAAATTGAGAAATGAATACTCAGTTCCTACTAACAGCTGTCCTGGACCTGAAGATCTAAAGGAAAGCATATCTAAAGAATGGTTGCTGGGATTGGGTATGTCTACTTTGTAATTCTTAGACACATAACACAAATTTACAAAATAAAACATTATATCTAAGAGGGAAACGTATGTCAAAACTATGTGTTAAGATTAAAACTGTCAATATTTAACATTAACACATTCAACAGAATGTACCTTTATCTCAGATATACATTTTTTATATAGTGAGGCTACAACTTCCCTTATTTACAAGCTCATATGAAAGATAATTTTGATCTAAATGTAGGATTAAAAACAGAATTATTTTTGAGCTGCATCAATTAACCAAGTCATCAAATTTTAAATTCTGTGAAGTTACTGAAACTTTGAGAAATACTGTTATTAGTAGAAAATTAAACAGTAAGCATTATGATAGCTAGCAGACTTACTTTCGATTCTGGAAAGCGCTTCTTTCTGCCAGGGATCCTGGAATATATTTTACCCCGGGAATTCTTTTCAACAGCCGGAAAGGGAACTTCTGATCTAAACAAGAGGCTGTTGATTCAGAGAAATCCAAAGCAAAGCAGTAACCATGACCATCTAAAATTTAGCAGTTAAGGAGAGCCAGAAAAAGGATGTGAAAGAAGGCATTTTTAAGCCTGGTCTTCTGAATATATTTTTCTGAGATTGCTTTAAAATGTTCAGAAACTTCAATGGAAGCACAGAACACCAATATTATATTTTCTTCACTTCCTTACATATTGTATTTTTGAACTGCACTAACAAGAAACGAAGGTCTCAAGAATGTAAAGTGGCTGACTTGCTACTTATATTTAGTGTAATTTGCTACCTTTGCAACTTTAGGTAGGGGCAATCTATTCAGTCCATTCAAGCAATAGCTAAAACAGTCTTGATATATCTGGAAAACCCCAAAATGGAAAAGATTGTTGATGGGTTAATATAATAAATCATTAAAGAAAATAAGCTTCAAGTGTATCTGTGCCATTTATAACGCAGACGGTCATCTATCCTAAACGTTTTAGAAGTATTCTTTAGATATGGAAGATGCAACTTGATAAGTTAAAAGTTATGCAATTCATTATAAAAAGATACATATATTCCCAATTAAGAGGCCACAGAGATTTGCTAGGAAAGAAGAACTTGGGAAAATCCAGGCCACACAAAGCAGCAACCAGGGCACAAGTGTCATGTGGACGTTCACTCCAAAGAGCACTGTTCTCCTCATTCGAGAACGAGCAATTGATGCAGCCAGCATGGCAAAAGCCACAGGAACGAATCCTTCAGCATCCGTCATCTTCAACATGCCGGATGCCATAGTCCTGAGTACAAGGTAGAGTAGAGCTAAGGAAACCGCAAATGCCAGAGTGAGGAAGGAGTGCTTCACAGTCCCCACCATCTTCTCAAAGCTGCCAGCAAAGTACCAGATGATAACAGCACTGCATACCAAGGAGATTACATCCTCATAAACAAAGATGTAGGTCACCAACCTATAAACTGCAAAAAGAGCCAAGTTGGCAAATAAATAATAGACAAGAAGCTGACACTCTGAAATCATTCCTAATTTATTCATAGCTTTGGAAGAATGCTGCTAACTCCAAAGACAAGGGGAACTGAAAGGCTGGGATAGGGTTAAGGAGGATGGAGAGCTGCATTAAATCAAAAGTCCAGAATCAGAAGAGTGTTGGGTTTAGTGAAGTATTTTTTTTATCTAATTTACATAGCCGCCCATCTCACCAGAAACTACTCTGGGCAGTGTACAACAAGCCAGAACAGTTTATAAATACATAAAACTACTTACCAGTTAATTATAAAAACATTTTTAAAATAAACCAAACAAAATAACAGATGGAGGGATGTTAATAATAGAGTTATCTCACAAGTTTACCCATCTCGTGGGGTCCCCAGGCTTTCTGACATTACCAGATCTTAAGGGATTCTCAGAAGCTCATGAGACTAAACTCATTTCAGGTGGCAGAAGATTCCACAATGTGGGTGCCACCACAGAAAAGGGCCACTGCCTAGGTTGGTCTCCCTAGCTGATAGCACGTGTAAAGTATACCTTACAAAGCTTGTGATCTGGCCATTTTCTAACAAAGTGAACATGCCTGGTTTTGCAAGGTTGGAGAGAGGAGATGCAGGCATATTAATTTGGTCAGCCTGAAGAAACACATAAGTTTATTTGTTCTTCTGGATTTTTAAATATTTGACAAAATTAGCAATAATAGTCTTTTGAATTGCCTAGAAGAGGGGGGGCAGTATTTACTCTGAGATATTTCTAGTTCTTCCTAAAACTGTATATTCAGTAGTTTGTCTATTGCTTACAACAGCATTCCAATTTATTTAGCAAATGTATACACTGCCTATTCCCTTAACAATTTAGGGTGTCTCGTAAAGATGCAGTTGTAATGTATAAACATAACAGAAAAATCAACAAAAATCAGTAAATATGCTTCAATGTTGCTTGTCCCCTGCATTTCGGCATGTAAAGACAAATCACTGGGAAAAATAATCTGAAGTATGTTTCCATCCATCAATAACATGCAGCTCTACCTGGGAAGTTCCTTAAATTTAAAATCAATGCATGAATAGGGAAGATAAGGGCTAAGAAACTGAAACTTGAAGAGGCAGTGTGCATAGCTGGATGCAGGCTGTCATAAATAAAATGTTTCTGAACAGAAGAGATCCTCAGTTAGACATTCAAATTATTATAAAAATATTAAAGGACCTAGAAAAATGGGGTTTCAGTACAGCTTTTGGCAAATCTAAGCAAATATTAATAGCATGTTTTTTTTGGGGGGAAGGTGCTTTCTCTCATTTTTCAAAATATTGGGAGTGTAACATTTTACAGATAGCCTGCAAATAATCTAGACCTACCTTCCATTCGCTCCTGCTTTGCCAACCATCAAGAAACCTAAACTCAAAATGTAATAGAGAAGGAAGAACTCTGCTATGTAAGATTCCTCTGGAAGGCAGCTGCCTAGATGAATTTTATTAGCCCCAGGAAGAAGCAAGGAATGACTGTGGAAATTAAAGATGGGGACAGTCTAGCAGAGATTAGGAGAAAGGGCCAGATTGTCTTCTATGGAAGCCTTAAAGAAATCAATCTTTGCTAGGATTTTTTTAATTTAAATTTATTTATTTATAAAACTTACAGACCACCCATCTTAGGTCAAGATAATTCTGGGCAGCTTTAATGCCTAAATTAAATAAATGCTGAAAAGCAATAGAATGGCTCCTGTAACGGCCCCAGGACCTCTTTAAGTCCTTTCCAACATAAATCAGCCCGATGTCCTCCATGAAGTACGAAAAACAGAGCCTTCTCGTCTTTATCGTAAATGCTATGGTAGCCTGCTCCTTCCCATGGAAGATCCATTTCCATCTCCCTTGGATTTCACACTCTCCTCTCCCCCCCCCCGAGCTTTCTGAAAAGACTCCACAGGGAAGAACGTAACAGCCGCTACCCGAGGAAGGCAGGAAAAGAGGGATCGTCCCTCGAGCTCACCCTGCCCTTCCCGCACCGCCGCCGGCCGCAGCAAAAACCCCGACAGAAAGTCGTCGGGCAGGTCATTACTTCTGCTCCGCTGCAACAGGCCCAGCCCGGAGACCAACAACGTGAGCAAAATCGTCAGGCAAGTAGCCACGGGAAACTTTTCCATGCTCTCCCGCCTTCACCCTACACACACACACCCGATTTTCAGATCGTCCGGGTTACCAAGCCTTCCGAGTTCTGCTTCCGGGTTAGGTCACAACCAATAGAGCCAAGAACTCAAGACAGACAGGAAGCCCCGCCTTCCCGCTGAACGAACTCTGCGTGGTTTGGCCAGGTGAGGTTGTATCCCCCGCCTGTCCCTAAAAGCAAAGCCTTTCTCCGTTGCCGTGGTAACCGAACACCCAAGGGTCTTCAAACTTGGCCCTTTTATGACTTGTGGACTTTAACTCCCAGAATTCCTCAGCCAGCATGCCTGGCTGAGGAATTCTGGGAGTTGAAGTCCACAAGTCATAAAAGGGCCAAGTTTGAAGACCCCTACCATAATCCGAAATGTTCTTTCAAATAATAACAGCTGCAGAAAGGAGGCAGAGCCAACTAAGGCTCCAAAGCACAAATAGGACAGCTGCAATGGAACCACCCATTTGTGCTGGGTTGAACCTGAGAGCTGGATTCCGTTTAGGTAGTCCTTGACTTACAATAGTTCATTTAGTGACTGTTCAAAGTTACAACGGCATTGGAAAAAGTAACTTATGATCATTTTTCACACTGACAACCGTGATCAAAATGCAGATGCTTGGCAAATGGTTCATACTTAGGACCACTGCTGTGTCCCAAGGTCATGTGATCACTTTTTGCAATCTTCTGACAAGCAAAGTCAATGGGGAAGCCAGATTCACTTAACAGCCGTGTTACTAACTTATCAATTGTAGTGATTCACTTAACAAATGTGGCAGGAAAGTTTGTAAAATGGGGTAAAACTCACTTAAATGTCTCACTTAACAACAGAAATTTTGGGCTCAATTGGGGTCATAAGGACTACCTGTATTGTAGCAGTTCAAGGTACAGGCAAATAGCCAACAATTCTGGAAGCTAAAGTAAGGGAGTTCCTTGAGAGGCCTGGCTATCTTAGTGTAATATGTACTGTATAATAATAAAATTCATCAACTATAGCCTTTTTTTTGGCATAACACCAACATGGAAATGGTTTTATTATTGCCTTTTCTGGGATTTTAGATTTTTATTTCCCAGATTAGTCTGAGATGTTCTGTCTGTCTTCTTTAAAGTGTTCATCACTATATCCAGAGTTGCTTAGATGAAAATTAGGCTAAATAGCTTGGTACAACTGCTTATATTCCCATATATTGCTTTGAGATTATAACAATGATAATATTTTAAACCTGTTTCCATTAATTGAGGTTTGTTTGCTTGTGTACATTCAAGTTAGTCTTAACTTCTGGCAACTACTTAGACAGGTCACTGCAATTTTATTGGCATGGTTTTTCAAAATTGCTTTGTCATTTCTTCGTTCCTAGGGCAAAGAGAGAGTGACTGGCCCAAGATCACTCAACTGACTTTGGGCCTAAAGCAGGATTAGAACTCACAATCGCCTGGTTTCTTGTCTAGTGCCATAAGTACAACACCAAACTGACTCTCTTAATCTGTTTACCAAGTGTATTTTGAAAAATAATCTGAAACTTCTATTTGAGTGGCCCTTTTGAAAGACTGAATTAACTGAATTAAAATTCTATAATTCTGTGATTAGTATCTGAGCTGGCTGAGCTTTTAAGGACTGACCAGAACTGACAAGAAGTACCAGGTAGATTCACAAACTGGTCAAACCAAGTTGATGTTTGCTTGACTCTAACTTAGTGTATTGGTGAATAAATCTGGTGTTCAAATAATTAAATGTCATGATTTAATGTTATATGTGAACAAAATATATCTCAAACCTTGGGCTGTTGCTTAAAATAATTTATTGGTTGTGTACAGGGCAGCTGCAGGCAGATTGTAACTGCATATACATCTAAGTAGAGCCAAAGCTTCCAGTGATTTTCAGCTTTTCTAAGAGCCGTTGGATATAAAGAGATGTTATATTTCTTTAGAAATGGCATCAGCCATGGTTATTCAATCTCTTGAACTGTGTCAAATATGTTGAAAATGTTCGATTTTTAAAAATGCTGAAGAACAGAAATAGACATAAAAATTATTTACAGAACCTATAGACATTTATATTATTGAGCTGTGCAAGAGTTACACTTACAAATTATATTTTAACTATTTTCTACATGATATGAAAACTGCAACAATAGCTTTTATAGACTAAATATTGCAAATTAGGAAAAGCATTCACAACAGAAGACTTTAGGCCAGGGGATAGTGCTTATCTCTGTTTCTAAGCGAGGGAGCCAGCGCTGTCCAAAGATATTTCCATAGTGATGTGGCCAGCACGATTATACATGGAGGCGCACAGAATACTGTTATCTTCCCATCAAAGTGGTACCTATTTATCTTCTCACATTTGTGTGCTGTCAAACTGTTAGGTGGGCAGTACTTGGGCAAGGACGGGAGTTCACTCCGTTGTGCAGCGCTTGGGTCTGAGTGTAGAAACTTGGTTGACTTGGTAGGTAATTAGAAGTATCTAATTGGATTCTGCCCTTGCACCGGAATTAGTTTCAGACAGGGAACAAAACCAGCACAAACCCAGAGACTATTTGGGAAGCGGTTTCATTTCCCCAACTGTCTTGTAATTACTAGAAAAGAGAATCATCCCTGCAGTTGAGTTATCTTTCTGAGATTCTCTTTCAGAGTGTTTAAGGACAATTTTATACCCCAGCTGTTTATAAGGGATGGAGGTACACTTCTAAAGGACAGCAAAATAGGTCCTGGCCCTATATTTTTCAGCATCTCCTTGATATGTAGAATTTCAGAAAAAAATAAACTCAATCTAGTTTTCTTTCAAAGCACCAAAACTAAATCAGAGGGCTTAAAAAAAAGATATTGGCACAACAGAAAAAGGTTTTGTCCCTAGGATCTACAGAAAAATTGCATTATGTACTCATAAAACAAAGCGACTTCTTGAGAAACAAATCTGTTCATCTTCTTGCTTTACCAGGTGAGTATCCCTGCCAGATGGACTGGACGGTCATTTTGGTTGCACGAAACCACAATGTATTTCCACCTGCTGTCTTCTGCCTTGTACTTGCAATCTTTTCCATATTCCTGAGAAAGTCTGCAACTTGTCACACGAAATTTCATGGTACTCTTCTTATATTCCAAATTTTGGATCACGTATGGTTTCCCTGTCACACAGGTGTGGTCAATAAGCTTCTCAGGGGCATGGATGAATGTGTTCAGCCGTTTGCATCCGTTCCTAGTCAAAGCAATCCTTCTATTTTGCATCTCACGGTTGCATCTGTTATGGTCTATGTTATCCAGAAATGTCATATGTTTCCTTTGAAAGGCTTGTGGGCTCTGAGAGCGAGAAATATTGATAACAGAGATGGAGATAAAGAACAGAATCATCATAGATACTCCATTTGAAGCCATTTTCTTTGGTTGGATCTAAAGTTTTCAAAACAGTGAAACTTTAAAAAATGAAAGGCAAATTTACATGTTGACCTGATTACCTATTTATTCCTATTTTCCCGATAGTTATCATTTAGAATTCCATAAATTTGTAGGAAACGTCACAGGAAGGAATTACACTTCATACTGAGCTTTACTGAAGTTCACATAATACATTAAATTGCTTTAATATGAATACACATATTACATACAATTCTTTAACTTAGGAAGTGGCTTTTTGGTTCTGCATACACTCTTATTCAAATTTAGAACTTACCACTATTCAGAATTTGAATTAAATTTACATTAAACTGATTTTACATTGAAAAAGTAAGAAGTAACATGCAAAAGAAATCTGAGAAAAGGACATCTAATTAAATATCTTTACACTACTTCAATTCATTATACTTGTTCATATCTTCAAAACCTGTTTCTGCCATGTCTTATTCCAAGACGCAAACTACTGTCACTTAGAATCCCGATCTTGTACTTTCTTGACCAGCCTGAATCAACCAAGTGAATAATTTTATCTTGGAGAAAATAATTTAATCATGCCCTCAAATAGCTTACTAGGGCAACCTTAAATTTATAGTACTATAATCAAAAGTCTACAACAGTGTAGTATTGTAATTGTGCCTCCACCAATAAGTAAAATGCTTGTAGCATTTGAAAGGGTTCGATAGTCATGGCATGTTGAACATCGGAAAATAAAAACATATTGGCTAGAAAAATATTCATTGAATTTACATTGAAAAAGAGATAATACACAAAAGAAATCTGAGAAAAGGACATCTAACTAAAAATATTATTTTAGTTAGTTAGACAAAAATATTCACTGAATATTTTTCATTGCGATCCTGAATGACTCTAGGATACACATCCACATTTTATTGCAGGGTCTTCTTGTTCTGATAGAATGTGAGT